GTCAGTGGATTCATCGTCCTCTTATGGTCAGCCCGTCCTCAAAGGCCACAGTCCATTCCATGTACCGGCCAATTCCCCTGTTTATTAATGAAAAACGGTTTACACACACGACTCACAGCTGATGACGTTTGAACACTTCCGGAACAAGTGCTTCGCTGACGATTCTTGTTCGAACCACAACGCTTTAAATGCTTCACCCATCTATTACAAATACAAATAATCGCCAACAGAATCTAAACACCTAACCAGTGCCTAAATATGCACACTATCCTAATATATAATAATATTAATTTAAATCTGAAAAAAGTTCTGTTTTAAACGAACAGAAATGTTAAAACTGATGAATGCGTCTTTAGGGTCGACCGCTGCATGGAATGGACTTGGTCCGTGGACGGGGTGTGTGCTCACGCTTGGATAGTTCACACCACACACACACACACACACACATCTACACTAAGCCTCTGTTTTTGGGTGTAATCCAACATGGTTGTCCTGTGTCCCGCACTCAACCCGAAGCCACCAGTGTGGCCATGACTGTGTCCCGCACTCAACCCGAAGCCACCAGTGTGGCCATGACTGTGTCCCGCACTCAACCCGAGGCCACCAGTGTGGCCATGAACGTCAACCACAGTAGGCGAGTTATGGTACGATGTATATAATATATATATATATATATATAACATTTTAAAAGATTTCTGCCTATTTTATATAAAGTCCTTTCCCCATTCGTGTCCCACACGCCTAAAGGTCTATTTTGATCCTTGACGGTTGGTTTGATCCACAGGTGTATCACCAATTACCACCTGCAGTGATAGTATTGATCTACAGGTGTAACACCAATCAATTGCCACCTGCATCGTATTTAGCCACTAATAATAATAATAATAATGTTTCCCCAAGTGAAATATCCATTTTACTCGTGAAACTGTCGACAATAATGCCTGTCATTGGGGTTCCATTATCAAACAATCACTTATAGATTGTATACACTTCTCTCAAGCCTCTTTTTTTGTACAAAGGTCTTGTTTATTTGCAGACATTAAACAACCGATAGCATCAGCAGATCGGATTCTTCATCCTTCAGTCAGTTGGCAGGCGATATACAGCAGACTTGCCAGCAGACAATGTCTGCCTTTAACTTGGCTTCGATAACCGACTTGCAACTGTTGAAATCGCTGAAGCACTTGTCCTAAAATATATCGCAGAATACTATAGTATACAGGAACATATAGTATAACCTCGTTAATTCATCCATCATAAAATACAAAACGCTGATCGATATTATTTTCCGTCTAAAAAAAAAAAAAAACGAGTTCAAGTCAAACTTGATGAAAGATTTGATGAAAGTATTCATCAAATCAATATGATGAATAAACTGCTGGAGACATACTGCTGCTACAAGGGGCCTCGTAGCCTGGTGGATAGCGCGCAGGACTCGTAATTCTGTGGCGCGGGTTCGATTCCCGCACGAGGCAGAAACAAATGGGCAAAGTTTCTTTCACCCTAAATGCCCCTGTTACCTAGCAGTAAATAGGTACCTGGGAGTTAGTCAGCTGTCACGGGCTGCTTCCTGGGGGTGGAGGCCTGGTCGAGGACCGGGCCGCGGGGACACTAAAGCCCCGAAATCATCTCAAGATAACCTCAAGATAACGACATTGTTGGTCTTCTAATGGTCAACACTGACTGAACCGAAGGAGCACCGAGAATTAAGAACAGGTCACGAAAGTTGTGGAGTGAACGGTATGGAAGAAAATGCAGAATAGAACCAGTGAAGAGCAGGGGTGCCATAGGCACAATCAGCGAACACTGTATAAACATCAGAGGTCCACGGTTGTTTAACACCCTCCCCGCGAGCATAAGAAATATTGCCGGAACAACCGTGGACGTCTTCAAGAGGAAGCTAGATTGCTTCCTGCAAGGAGTACCGGACCAACCGGGCTGTGGTGGGTATGTGGGCCTGCGGGCTGTTGCTGCAAGCAACAGCCTAGTGGACCAAACTCTCACAAGTCGAGCCTGGCCTCGGGTCGGGCTTGGGGAGTAGAAGAACTCCCCGATCCTGGCCTCGGGTCGGGCTTGGGGAGTAGAAGAACTCCCCGATCCTGGCCTCGGGTCGGGCTTGGGGAGTAGAAGAACTCCCCGATCCTAGCCTCGGGTCGGGCTTGGGGAGTAGAAGAACTCACCGACCCTAGCCTCGGGTCGGGCTTGGGGAGTAGAAGAACTCACCGATCCTGGCCTCGGGTCGGGCTTGGGGAGTAGAAGAAATCCACGATCCTGGCCTCGGGTCGGGCTTGGGGAGTAGAAGAACTCACCGATCCTAGCCTCGGGTCGGGCTTGGGGAGTAGAACAACTCCCAGAACCCCATCAACCAGGTAAAGCTTGAGCAGCCTGTCGTAACGAGCGAACCAACTGCGCTTACGGTCCCCTGGAGCCTTGGTTAGTGGTGAAGAGACTGCTGCCGAGGGAAGGAAGGCCTGGGCGTGTCGGCCTTAGCCCCGTCGCCAGGCCTACCACACAGGCCCTCATTACCGCCAGGTTAAGCCAAGACTGCTAGAATTTTTGTCAAAAGAAATGTCAGATTGTTACTCATTCATAAAAGAAAAGGATTAGGATGTGTGGATTAATGAGGATTAAAGCTGACGAAGAGAAAGGTGGAGGCCGACATCCAGGAGCCTGGAAGAGAAAAAAAGGAAGAAAAAAAGGAACAGCACAGGAGTCCAGCGAGGGTCGGCAATGTCTGACACTCGTCCAAAAACTGGCTCGTCAACCAGCCGGTCTATCGAGCGCTCCCAACGTCAGTAAACCGATGGGCTAAATTGCCAGAACCTAACCTATCCGAGGACCCACGAACAGAAAACGAGGCATCACAGCAATTTTGGCGAGTCGCTATGATTCTTAGTACATCATTTTTTGACCCAAGAGGATTTATACGTCAAAAATACATCAATACGTGTATTGTTAGAGAGGATGGGTTGCGTGAACACAGCCACACACCCGCCCCCATCACTCCCCTAACACCATCTACTCCAACGCCCACACCCGCCCATATTTAGTCCCCCCCAACACCATCCCCCCCCCTCCCCAGCTCTTCCTTCCGTGTCGGTGTGTTGTGGTGATGGCTAAACATAGCAACATGCCCCGGGGCCCGCAGGATAATCGCAGCGGTCTAAATGTTCATCTTCCACCATTCCAAATGATGCCTATTTTTAACCCACTGACCGCCGCAAAGGTCTTGTCGGCCGGTGGTGCTTGGCCGCCATCACACGATTACCATCACTCACACACACACGCACACACACACACACACACACACACACACAATCTGGATTACTGGGACCAATCCTCTTTCTAATTTACGTAAATGATATGTTTACAGGAGTGGAATCATACATGTCGATGTTTGCAGATGACACAAAATTAATGAGAAGATTTGTGACAGACGAGGATTGTAGGATCCTCCAAGAGGACTTAAACAGGCTGCAGAGATGGTCAGAGAAATGGCTACTGGAGTTTAACACCAGTAAATGTAAAGTTATGGAAATGGGATCAGGTGACAGGAGACCAAAGGGACAGTACACAATGAAGGGGAACAGCCTACCTGTAACGATTCGAGAAAGAGACCTGGGAGTGGATGTGACACCTAATCTAACTCCTGAGGCACATATAAGTAGGATAACGACAGCAGCGTACTCTACTCTGGCGAAAATTAGAACTTCATTCAGAAACCTAAATGAGGAAGCTTTTAGGGCGCTTTACACTGCCTACGTGAGACCCGTCTTAGAGTATGCCGCGCCATCATGGAGCCCCCACCTGAAGAAACACAAAGAAACTGGAGAAGGTTCAGAGGTTTGCGACGAGGCTTGTCCCAGAGCTACGAGGGATGGGATATGAAGAGCGGCTGAAGGAACTGAACCTTACGACACTAGAGAAAAGAAGGGAGAGAGGAGATATGATAGGGACATATAAAATACTCAGGGGAATTGACAAAGTGGAAATAGATCAAATGTTCACACGTAATAATAACAGAACGAGGGGACATGGGTGGAAACTGGAAACTCAGATGAGTCACAGAGATGTTAGGAAGTTTTCTTTTAGCGTGAGAGTAGTAGAAAAATGGAATGCACTTGGGGAACAGGTTGTGGAAGCAAATACTATTCATACTTTTAAAACTAGGTATGATAGGGAAATGGGACAGGAGTCATTGCTGTAAACAACCGATAGCTAGAAAGGCGGGATCCAAGAGTCAATGCTCGATCCTGCAAGCACATATAGGTGAGTACATATAGGTGAGTACACACACACACACACACACACACACACACACACACACACACACACACACACACACACACACACACACAGCTTGGAGGAACCAGCAGTGACGGAGGGCCAATAGTAGTAGTAGTAGTAGCAGACCCTCCACATCTGGTCATTGTTGTTGTTGTTAAAGATTCGCTACTTGGAACAAAATGTTCCAAGTAGCACGGGCTATGGTGAGCCCGTAGTTTTATCTGGTCATTGCCAGCAGTGACTAGGGACGAGTAGTAGCAGACCCCGCACACCTGGGTCAGTTTCCCCATCTTTTACCGTTTTCGTTGATTCCCGAGAGACTATCACAGGTCCACAACGCCAAGACAGAGTCACTAGTTACCTTATCAAACAGTAGGATACCATAGGCTGACCCCTGACAACTGTAGCTGGTTGTCTCATTTAAAACCATCTCTCAGCACCCTTGAATGTATTCTCTAATGATATGCTTTCCAATTAGGTAAAGCAGGATCAGCTGTACAGGACTAGTGTGTACATTGTTCAAATGTCAGTAAACATATTTTGGCGCCAATTATGGTCTTGCGAGTTTTGTAAACCAGTTTACACCTTTCAGTGCACGTGTAGAGTAGCCGAGGGTAGCGGGATTTAATCACCATGCTTATACACCTCGCGAACAACGCCGTGTTTACACACAACTGCGCTATAAATCACTGGAGAGAAGCAGAGCGAGTCTTTCAAGTGGGGGAGGTGTGAGAGCCAACACTTGACCGGAAACCTGGCTTATTTTTGGCGGGGCGGCACCAGGCACCTCGGGACCGGCACCAGGCACCTCGGGGGCGGCACCAGGCACCTCGGGGGCGGTACCAGGCACCTCGGGGCGGCACCAGGCACCTCGGGGCGGCACCAGGCACCTCGGGGGCGGCACCAGGCACCTCGGGGGCGGTACCAGGCACCTCGGGGGCGGTACCAGGCACCTCGGGGGCGGTACCAGGCACCTCGGGGGCGGTACCAGGCACCTCGGGGGCGGTACCAGGCACCTCGGGGGCGGCACCAGGCACCTCGGGGGCGGTACCAGGCACCTCGGGGGCGGTACCAGGCACCTCGGGGGCGGTACCAGGCACCTAGGGCCGGCACCAGGCACCTCGGGGGCGGCACCAGGCACCTCGGGGGCGGTACCAGGCACCTCGGGGGCGGTACCAGGCACCTCGGGGGCGGTACCAGGCACCTCGGGGGCGGTACCAGGCACCTAGGGCCGGCACCAGGCACCTCGGGGGCGGTACCAGGCACCTCGGGGCGGCACCAGGCACCTCGGGGGCGGCACCAGGCACCTCGGGGGCGGCACCAGGCACCTCGGGGGCGGCACCAGGCACCTCGGGGGCGGCACCAGGCACCTCGGGGGCGGCACCAGGCACCTCGGGGGCGGCACCAGGCACCTCGGGGGCGGCACCAGGCACCTCGAGGGCGGCACCAGGCACCTCGAGGGCGGCACCAGGCACCTCGAGGGCGGCACCAGGCACCTCGAGGGCGGCACCAGGCACCTCGGGGCGGCACCAGGCACCTCGGGGGCGGCACCAGGCACCTCGGGGGCGGCACCAGGCACCCTGGGGGCGGCACCAAGATGCTGTGTACTTGAGGAGGCACACACTGATTCTTCCCGATTCTACAACCCTGCCCTCACATTTAATACATTTACACTAACGACCTAATCTAAACAAACTGTATTGCTTGATTTAAATACAACAAAAACTTACTATAAAAACATTCCCTGAGTAATGAACGTGGGTGTTCGATACATGATACGCCTGTTGCCTAGAGCTGAGCCTATCAGGAAAACCACAACCATTTCAAATTTGACGCATCAGATCGTAGGGAAGAGGCTAGGCTCTGCTCTCAACCCACTCCCCAGCTCCCGTGGGGTAAGAGCCTGCGACCCACCCAGATTCACTAAGTGAAGAAAATACAAATAATCTCTAACAGATTAGCCAATAATATTGGCTAACCTAACCAATGCCTAAATATGCAGTATGCTAATATAGCAATATTAATTAATAATTTGAGAAAATTCCTGTTTTAAAGAATGCATGTTAACATTTGTGAATGCGTCTTTGGGGTCGACCGCTGGATGGAATGGACACAGACTCAGGACGGGTTGAATTTGGGACATGGCCTTCCAGTATCTTCCACGTAATTTAGTACAAGTATTTTCTTATAAATTAACGAAATAAAATAGTAATGCATTAAAATAACATATGATCTCCCCCCCTTGAATAATATTTAACTGTATTTAAGAAAATATAAATTTTTAATACACTACATCAAAGTGAATTGCTGCGCCCCAGCGATCAACTGCACCTTGGAGAGGCGTAGCTTGAGGAAGTACTGTTTTGGCGGCCGGATCCTGGGGCCAGATTCACGAAAGCACTTACGCAAGCACTTACGAACGTGTACATCTTTCCTCAATCTTTGACGGCTTTGGTTACATTTATTAAACAGTTTACAAGCATGAAAACTTCCCAATCAACTGTTGTTATTGTTATAAACAGCTCCCTGGTGCTTTGGAGCTCATTAACTGTTTAATAATTGGAAACAAAGCCGCCAAAGATTGAGAAAAGATGTATAGGTTCGTAAGTGTTTGCGTAAGTGCTTTCGTGAATCTGGTCCCTGGATTTTTTTTTATCCTGGATTAACAAGCAGTTGGCCAATGTTTTGACGGTGGAAGACAGCGTGAGTGACAAGTGGGCGAACCACCAACGTATGCAACATAAAAAGATTAATTAAAAAATATATATATTTTGGCTAACGCCCTAACCCTTAAAATCACGGCTGTATTCATCGATATCTGCTTAATGGGGTTCTGGGAGTTGTTCTTTCTTCAAGCCCGGCCCGAGGCCAGGCTTGACTTGTGAGACTGGTCCAACAGGCTGTTGCTTGGAGCGGTCAGCAGGATGAGGCGTCAACCACTTCAAACATCTTTATGTGACTGACAGTTACCTGATAAGACACTTTGAACACCAGATGATAATATTCTGTGCTGTGAATAGTGGATAACAACATTCACCAAAGGCACGGCCAAAACATTGAAGAGCAGGGAAATTAAAAGATCGTTAAATACAAGACCAAGAATCACCATTCATTTATATATTATAACACGGAGGGGTTACCGGCGGTGCCCGGGTGCCCTCCCGATCCCCCCCTAACCACCACCACTTAACTCCTCGTCCCTTTCATAAAATATACTATTATGAAGCAATGAAACTATTAAACTTATGTTTAAGAAAGTTTCTGATAAAAAGTCTTCGGGGCACCTCAACCAATATTTCACACTTGACCAAAATTGAATCGGTGAAAGGGGGGGGGGGGTGAATAATCAACTATTTCTTAAGTCAATTAACTCTGACCATCCTACGATCGTCCCATACCCCAGACCATTTGCCCTTCAAATTTGGGTAAGGCAGGCGTATGGCCTCCAACTTCGAACAGACACACATTCTATCGTATAGTACAGATTGCCTAGTCTATCTCCAATTATCTATGATTATATGCCATTCCATTAAACTACATTACCATATTATATATTATATATATATATATATTATATATATATATGCCTGTTGTCTATGCATCCCTCCAATTCTGCCAGCAGGCTAAATAAACCCCGAGACAGAAGGTGTGAGCTTGACATTCGCTGGCAGTACTAATTAACCTCAGAACCAATCACATGCAGCCACTCACAACACGCCACCCCCCAATATAACCCGTGACGTCACTTCCGACACTTCCCCCTCCATCCCGGCCACATTCTCAATATTGTATTACCATTTTTTTAAACACGTAAATACAGAAGCAGCAGACTTCTCACTTATTAGCAGGCATGATGCGTTCTCTTCCCACGGTTCATCTGAACACGATGGTGAGGGCCATGATCTACCGGGCTTCCTCGTGTCTAGTACACAAAGGTGTACCATTTATGTCTAGTACACCCACTAAACCTTTAAGTGATCAAAGATGAATCGTCATCGAAATCTCACTAGTAAACCCCCCTTCCCCCACTCGAACCCTGGAGACAATTAGCAATGCCCTCTTGGTGCTCTGGTGTTACCCTTAATATATAACTATACCTCAACAACCCCAGATTGTCAAATCCTAAATCTCCTGTTAACTTCACATCACCAACAACAAGAAGCGTAAACACTAGTCACCCAATTACAACGAATTAAATTTAGGCCTATGGTCAGGCACCGGTACTCAGGTAATGTTACTTGGCGCCTTTGACCAGTTGTGCCTCATCACTTTGAGGTAGATGCCAGTCTGTTGGTGGCATGGCTGTAATGAGTACACAATTCAAATAAGCTTACCTACATAATACATTACTGTATAGCAATATTTATGTTCTGATTCAGAGAAAAATTTAAAAAATGGTTTATTTTTAAATTTACAATTTACGAAATTACCTAAATGTAGTTACAGCAGGAGAGTTACGCTCATGGTGTCCCATCTTCCCAGTATTCTTTCTCATATAACGCTTTGAAACTATTGACGGGTTTGGTCTCCACTATCTTCTCTTGTTCCGTCTATTATTCTGTTTGCAAAAGAAAACTTACTAATATTTTTTGGCACCTTTGATTCCTTAACTCGAATCTATGACGTCTTGAGGTTGCCGGTCTCAGGAAATCCTTTGTCAATTTGGCCAATTCCCATTATTAATTTGTAAGTGGTGACAATATCGCCTCTTTTTCTTCTATCTTTGACATATCTAACACCTCTAGCCTCACTTCATAACTTGTTTTACAGGTCTGGAAACCATTTTGTAGCATGCTTTTGCACTTTTTCTAGTTTACTGGTACTCCCCTAGTTGTACCAGTAAAGAGCCAAAGCGCAACCCCACAAGCACAACTAGGTAGTGCTTGTTGTGCCTAGTTGTGCTTGCGGGAGTTAAGCTTTGGCTCTTTGGTCCTGCCTCTCAACTGGTGTACAGATTCTTGAGCCTACTGGGCTTTATCATATCTACATTTGAAACTGTGTATGGAGTCTGCCTCCACCACATCACTGCTTAATGGATTCCATTTGTTAACTACTCTGACACTGAAAAAAATAATTCTAATGTCTATCTGTAACTGTGTGTACACCATGAACATACATGGTTTGCATGCACGTACATATGTGCATATGTGTGTGTATGCAGCATGTGTGCACAAAACAAAAGCAATTAATTTACATAGTGCTATTGGTTAATTATTGTAGAGTACAATTTTTTGTCAACTATGACCAGCTGCCTTAGTACAGCCATCTAATGACCTGCTGACATTACCGGTGCCAGTGATGAAGGCTTTTCTTTTAACTGAGCAAATTAATTGTTCATTGGGATATGTAATAATATTTCAATAGAATATTTAATAACTCTTATGTCTCACAGATAGACAACTGATTAGAGAGAGAGAATAGAGAGAGAAGAGAGAAGATAAAAAACAGCACTGTGTATGGAAAACAATGTTTCACTGTGTTTCTGTACTTCACTTGAAGCCACAACACAACTTGATTCCAAACAACGAAGATCAGGTTTCCAGTGAACACGGAATAATTTTCCATATTGCATTAGCGTACAAAACCCAAACACGAGCATACTAAACAGCTGCACCAGTAAATTATGAAGAGTTTACTAAGCACACTTACATATGGCTACCACAAACAAAAAAATAGGAATTCAAACTTGCTATAGAAAATGTCTTAATATCTTAAGAAAACATTTTTCTATGCGAGATTGAGAAGACTATTCACCCCAGTACCAAGAAAAACTTTAATATGCACTCCACCCAGTTCATAATACATGTCAAATGTTCTTTCTTGATACATATAGTAGTGGGAAACACTACACACAAAAATACAGATTTATTTTACTGTATCAACACTCCACCCAAGCTGTCCTTCTGACCTTTACCATCGACATTTGAACCTGTCAACAAAAGCAAAGCAGAGGCATATCATCGGCTGCCCCTGAAAGTCACAAAAAACCTTCATCGAATTGTTGAACATAGAGGCATGACATAGAGGCCCACACATTTTAGGCCAAATAATTAATATACTATACAGTTATCAAATCACAACCATATGTACCATTAAGTGTTAAAGAGAAACTTCGACCAGTACCATGATACCATAACCATTATTTAAAGTACAGTTCTGTACTGGGAACTAGCAATCCTCTTGAGCCCTTTCTGTAATACAGTAAATTACCAGACTCGCAAACACACTAACGGTACAGTATATAACATTAAATATACTCTATATACCCTACTATCAAGTGGAAAAAATAATAAATGCATTCATACATCCACTACCATACTTTTGTATTACTATAGCTGGTTCTTAAAGGTCTGTAACAATAATTACAAAAAAATTACATTCATTGCACAAGTACTAAATTACAGCTTTCAACAGATTATGTAATACCTCGCATGCCTATATACTGTACCTGAAATGCATAATCAGTTAAATCTCCTTTTTCAGGTACCTTTTCCATGAGGAACTAGGGGGCCCTCTTAACAGCTTATATGCCTTTTCCAATTTCAAAAATAATCTCTTCCTTAAATGGCTTCTTTCTCCG